TTATGTGTGTATTCGTGGTGCGAATATCCTTATTGGGCTCTCTTTGAACTAAATTTTGCACAACTTACCCTCCGGCCATAGATTTAATGGCTCAACAAAGAAAACTTTCTACAGATCTTGTGCCCTCGGCAGCTTAATGGACGGCGAATTTTATCAGATTCAATCATATTCAAATTGATGAAAATTTTTGTGCTTTTACGAGACCGAAGTTATGCAAAGTAAAATTGAATTTTCAATGGAACTTAAACTTTGGCCAGAAAAGAAATGAAAACAATTTTTTAACCGAAACAAATCCCCATTTTCATGTGTATTTTTGTTTTCATATTGGAAGAGAATCAAAGGTCTTTAATTTGTATTTTTCTACTCACCACTGTAGATTTCAATACATGAAAATATTTTCCATAAAAGAATAGAGCTTTTTCGATTGCATGAAGGGTAGAAATAATTAAACATTTGTCGAGGAAAGCAAAATATCCAATTCTGACATTACAATGTTGGCACATAAAAAATGAATTCTTTGTGGAACTTTCATGTGTTTCTTACTTTCTTTCTGTATTCCGTTTTTCAGTCTATCTATTTTAACTGTTCTTTCCACTGTGCGACCAGTTGCTTCTTCTTGTTTTTTTTTTTTTTTTCAATGTCATAAAAAAATGTTTGTCTGAATAAGGCCTTTGGGGATTTTCGCATTAAATTACAAATCCGCGTGGGGGCAAAAAAACTTTTCAATTTGACCTTTTAAAAACTTAAATCAAATTTCGAATCGACATACATTTTTTTGGCGTCGTATTTACCTCTGAACCTTGAGCCATTTTTTGTTCAACGGAAAAAACGTAACCTTGACATTGTCACCGATTTTTCGAGCCCAATGTTGCCAACAAAGTAAATTAAGCCTGTGAAATGAAACAACCCGTAACATTTGTTTGGATTTGTGCTTTGATGGGAATACAAACAAAAAATGCTGTCCATTTCAGTTGAAATTGTGAGATTAAAAACAATTTGTCTCCTTCAGCAAACACATCCAATAAATCTTGTTAAATGAATTTTTCGCTGTGCCGCAATGGAATGTGGTCGACGGAACAATGTCATTTTGGTCGCCTCGAGAGAATCTGCGGTTTGTCATTTGTGTCGTCTCCACTTTCGAAATTTATTTATAATCCAATATGCTTGCAGAAATGAATATTAATTTCAATTAATATAACGCTCATTAAAACATAGTACCACAAATGTCAACGGCGAAAATTAATTTGATGTTGGCCCTCGTTTGCATCATGAATTTTGGTAGATGTGAGTAAATAACCACACACAAGTACCTTTGAAGTTGTGTGCACAGCACATATTTAATCGCGCAGATTTAAATTAAATACCCTGAAACTAGGCAATCGTCGTGTTGAAAGCGGCGTCACTTTTGTTTGGTGGTGCCCTCTTCGCTTGAACGGCATCAGTTTTGGGTGACTATTCAGTTTTTATAGAATGTTTGAAAACACAAATGTACCGAGAGAATTTCGATCGGAATTTCATGGTGTCAATGACATTACAGGTGCCTTTTTTCTGCGAATTCTTATGATAAGACAAAAAAATAATATCGAATTCGGTTCACTAATCAACTCGAAATATTATTTGCAATAATTGGATTTGATCAACGCTCAATTCGAATATCGTTTGCTAGATGCTACGATATACATTTAAATCGGGCCATAAATGCATATTTGACATGCAATCAAATACCGGATTGCATTTGAATTTCCATTTTGTAATGCACTGAAAATCATTTTTTGGCAAATGTTTCGTTCACTTGTGATCGCTTGTGAATTCATTTTAACGATTCATGATTTAACTTGCGTGCTCGATATTTATCTATGTTGTGCAAATAGTTTCGATTATATACAAAGTAAATAGATTCTTGTGCGCTGAAAACGTAATTTGTTCGTTCGTTTCTTGTTGTTGTTGCCGCAAATTTGATCATTCGATGAGAACACATTAGATATTAACAGCGTTGCGGCTTTAATGAAGTGTGTGTGTGTGTGTGTGTTCGAGAGTCGCATTTCATATAGTATTTTTCCGTCATTTATTGATTGTCCAATGGATAGTCTATGGAACGGATTTCAACACTATACACATTTTTCATCACGTTCACTCTCTATCGTATCGAGTTAACACAATAAATTATCACATTTTCTGCAAATTAAGTCGTTTTAATCAACGCGCAAATGATTTTATCGGCCAATGGATTCTGAAAGTGAAATGAAAGGGAATTTACACAAATATCTAAAACAAAATGATTTATGACCATGATTTAATTTCGATGTGAAAATTACAAACAGCACATACAGACACTCTCTCTGTTGCAATTTGGATCAATGAAATACTTGCACAACAATGTATCGCAATTGTAAATTTTTGTCGCAGAAAAAGACGGTTTTCGCCATATAATTAATGTTTTCACCTTGACAATGGTTCACATGAAGCGACACACTTGCCTTGTCATCTCTCATTCTTGAGTTTGATGGTTCAAAATTGTCAGAAGAATATGTGAAGACTATACGTAGTTGACACAACCATTTATATGCACGCAATCTGCTGGTTCGCCTCATTTGCACGATGGCGAAAAAAAGGTGTGTGTGGCAATGTTTGCGCTCCTCATGCAATCACATATCGTTCCATATGGGTTTATTTGGTGTACTTTACATCACCGTCGTCATTTTGACTGTTTAAACAGGAAAAAAGCATCGTGGCACAACATCACGTGTATATATGGCCATTTCAATTAGAGCAATCAACCAGAGAATACCATTTGAAATTGAATCATGTTTACATAATGTGATTAATTAGATATTTTAATTAACATTCATGTAAAATGACAACAAATACACTGAAGCGAGCCCAACATTAGCGTTCAAGAACTTTTACTTTTCAAATTAAATGGATGAAGAGAGTGAGGGCGATACGTATTCCAAACTCGATGCAAACTTTTCATAAAATGGGAGTTGAGACATCTTAAAAGCAAGATTGCATCTGGATAGTCATAAGAATTATGGCATATGGGAATCATAAAACGATTTTTAATGTACGACGATCGATCGGGAATATTGTTCAACTGGAAATCGCTTAGTTCATATTCAACCGACGAACAATATCAAAGTGCAGAACTTAAATGTGTGTCGGCAAAAATCGAAGATAGAATATGCAATTTACGCTGATTTGATTCGATCCAAGAGAATAAGGCACAATTTCTACATATTGTTCGATTTGAAGGGATTTGCTGAGGTTTTATCACTTACTATATTGCACTGAATTGTCGACCAATGACATGGCAGCAATTTTTTCTTGTGATTCTAATTGAAAAAAAGAGAACGAGAGAAATAGAGAGAGATAAATACGTTATCTAATGGAAACATGAATGGATTGAACCCTTGCCTCTATCATTCACAGCTTATTGTGCATATGCCATATCGTTGCAAAGATTACTGCACGTAGTCAGTACAGATGTAAGCGCGTCAGTAATCGCAATCACACGTTGATATGTGCACTGACTGGAACTGTTGGCGATACGAAGTGCAAGCAAAATTCGAACATTTACATAACTGAAACTTATGCATCTAATCGATTTGAATGAAACTTCTATGCTGCTGGTGATAAAGCCATGTTCGCTACATGAACTGGTTTTCGATGCACGTACATAAATATCCATGGGAAAATCGCACTAAATCTCTATCGTATCGAGAAAATTCGATTGACATGGTGCATGTGTGTGTCTGTGTCTGATAACCGAATGCAGTTTTGATAAAATTAGGTTTGAATTTTCATCGAATGTACAAAAGAGCCGAGAGTTAGCTTTAAATAATTAGGTAACAAATTTATTCGAGGCTGATGTTGTTTCTGTTGCTGTTGCCGACTTCAGCAGCGTTTACCAAATGTCGAATCATTCTGAGAATTTGTTTTTTATGGTTGCGCTTCATTATATTGGTTGTGCTAGAGAAATAGAAAATGCATCACGTAAAAGTCTATGTAACAGCGGCAACAGATCTATGTTGCCACAGCTTTCTATATATCGATTTTCAATCTCGCAAAAGCAATCAATATTGTCACATCGTCTATCGTTTTTGTGTTGGTTTTTTTTATTTGCAATTGTTGAATCGTAAAATAATCACGACTTTAGATGAGAAAAGACTTGATTTGGCTTCAATGAAAAATTCACTTGTCGATGCTTGTTTGGTTTCTTCTTCTTCTTCTTTTTTTAAAATGAGATTCTCTCAGCATTAATTTATGATCAGCATCGACGATTCAGAGTCAAATCAATTCATACGGCGATCGGATAGGAATTGTTATTTTTTTACTGCAATTTTTCAATTTAGCAAAAGCTATCAATATAGATGCAATTCTCTTTAATGGTGAACTGTGGTACATTCATTTCGTTTGCACCATTTTTCACTTCCATCATCAATTTTTCAACCCGTTAAGAGATCGACATTTGTAATCCAATGCAGTGAAAAAGTTCATAATTCAACGGTGAAACGAAATCAAAATAATAACGGTTGGCGACATTTGATCTCAGTCACAAGCATTTGTACTACGCACAAATGGCCACGATGAAGCAATGATGAAAACAAAATTACAAAAAAAAATAACGGCTCATTTTTTCTCACTTTCTCTCGCTCACTCTTCGTGGCTGCTGTCATAATTGTTTATCAATTATCACACATAGTTTTCCCTCTTTCCATTCGACTATCACTCACACTTCACAAGCGTGTGTGTGTGTGTGCATGTCGATTCAGCGGGGCAAACATATGAAAACGGTTGTTGTTGCATTCTTCGCTGTCGACATTGTCGTAATATGAAATTAAATACATAACAAATTGCAAGCCAACTGCACAAATACGAACGCATATTTTTGGTTTGCATTTACTTTGCGCGGTCGGTGGTGGTAAAATCGCCAGTTAAACCAAAGAAAAATAAACACCGACTACGAAAAATGTTGAGCAGAAAAATTATTCAATAAATTTCAATTTCAATTCACTTCGTGGTAACCGAACGAAGACGTAGTGCATTTTAGATTGTCCAACTCATTTCAAATATTTATTTATTTTCTCTATACAGTACGGTTGTGCGTTTACTTCTTCTTCTTCTTTTTCATATGCGAATAGGTAGCGCGGGCCACATATTTAACTAGTTTTCGCATTTTCAAAAGCAATTCCAGTGAGTGATTTTTGCTTGAGCGCGAGTGCCTCGAATTCAACTATCATTGAAAATATGAACGGTAACTGTGCAAATGGATACATAACGCCAACGGATTGAAAGTAGTGACAAACAATTCAAATAACTTTGATACACAAACTTAAATGAAATAAATAAAATAACATATCAAAATCACACCAGTGATATTGTGCGAAAAAATCCAAAGATTTGTTTTATCCAGTTTTTGTGAGTACATTGTCTTCGGGTGCTAAACTCCAAATAGATGTAAAAACTTTTTCGATCATTTGAAACAGTTTTGTGCAATTTTTCGTTTATTTTTTTTCATATGTGAGCATATTTGTTTGAATAAGTTTTTCCGAAATTATCCGAACACGCAGTATTTTAAAGTGGAATTTGTGAAGTGCATAGAAAGTTTTATAGAAAAACCGTTTTTTGTTTTGACGTCGGGTTTTTACACTATATACACGAGACGTGAACATTTATTTTGGATTACTCGTGCACCTTTGTGTTGCGGTGAGATTGCACTTTTAAAAATAAAGCTTGAACTAATGATGCTGCTGCTAGTGATGGTCGATGTTTTCAAATGCCATTACCTTCACCCTAAAAATAGTTTGTGTTCGTAAAATGCCCCTAAGTGAAGCCATATCAAACCAAAGGAATGCCATTATCTCCAGTTCAACAATAAGATTGCAAAAAATCGATATGCACAATTGAGTGTGAGCACTTTTTACACCCAAAGCAGAAAAAAATGTATAATAATACTTTATGGGTCGTGCGACAAGAAATAAAACCGTTTGCAATTAAGTTTTTAATGATGATCTTCATGTGAATTGCATGCCATAAATTCGAGCATAAAACTGCGAATGATTTTTATAAGTGGTTTTTGAAAATCGAAAATTTTAATTGATTTTCGTTTTCTTTCATGCAAAATGAACAAGCCGATAAAATATGTTACATTCAAAGGCAATAGATAAAAAAGCGCGAGTTTTTCATCATTTTTTTTTTGCGAAATATTCTTGGGCAAAACGTTCCATGTGATGTGGAATGGTATTCATAACTCTTTTATTGGGCAATAAATCAAAGTGAATTTTCATTACATGTACCGCTTTGACTGCGGCTTTTTGGTACTTGACGTAATTTAATATCGGCTCAAAGCAAAAGCGACAGAAAAATTACAAATTTTTGTGTCTAGACTTTGGAAATATGAGATTGCACGAATGTTTATGTTTTTTTGTTAACGCCACACACTAAACAATATATCTATGATTTTGGTTCTTTGTAATTAATAGTCAATTCACGCTCATTTTTAAATCTTTATGTCTTGACAACCGATGAAATTTTGAAACAAAATTGCGCGTTCGGGCGTTGACAGAAAATCGACTAAATCTCATCATCGAAACACCAAAGTATTTTGCAACTCACTTCGGATTTAGCATCAAACCAACTGGAGACATAATGATGAACGTTGATGAAAAATTGCAGTTAATTCACTTTTGACAACCTTCTCGACGGCTATTGACATTTCACATTTCAAATTGATTGATTTGCTTTTGTCATTAGCGCATTCTTTATGTTCCAATCCATGTTGGCGCTTTGGAAAATATAATTAATCCAAAATTATTGACCGCAAATTACATACTCCATTGCGCGCAAGTTGTGCAAAACCATAATCAGTCGACTTGAATGTCAATCTGGTTTTCATGGTGTGCAGGTATATTGCAAGCGATGCTGAGATTAAGGGCATCGATCGATAAAATGACAACTTATTATTTACTCTCCACATTGGAATGTACGGTGCATGCATAGAACTTTTTCGAACACAAACATACAGCAAAATATTTTATTAGTAAACAAAGTACGCGTCTATTTTTTTGTTTATGAACGTCATATTTGTATGAAATTTAAAACCAATTGAAATGAAATAACTCTCAGTATACTAATTATAAGTTATTATCAACCACACATTTTCATCGTCACATTTTCCGAAATAACTTATTTTTCGTCTAGCACATTGAAAAAATTAACGACTGAAACCATAAAACCATTAAAAGGCGATTGAAAAAAAAATGTCCACACGCAGCACACAAGTTCAGATGTTTGTTGAAAAAGCCATATTTTACACATTTGAAATTGAGTCTTGTTTGTGGCTTTCCAGAGAAAAAATCCAATTTCGTTGCGCCAAAGTGTTTTTGAGCAACCGAAAAAAATTGAATGGTTTTCTTACTGGGGGACGAATCAACGCTAAAATACTGAAAACTAATTTCAAAGTGTTGAAATCACAAACGAAAATTACACATTTCAATTATTTTCAATCGATTTTTGACAGCTGAACATAAAAAATAATCGAAATCCGTTAAAAATTCAGTGATAATTAGCCCCTTGTGTATGTCGTTCAGTTCTTGTTATGTGATGCATTTGCGATAACTAGCCAAAAAAATGCTCGCCAATTAAAGCCATGCACGTAATGCACGTTTCAATCTCGACCAAACATGCAGCCAGAAGAGTCATAAATTATTCGCATTTGAAATGAAAAGTAATTGAGAAAAAAGCGAATGTTAATTTACGTTTTTTCATTTGTTTTTCTTTCAGATTAGCCAATTCCGTCAGCACTTTTGCCAGTTAAAAAAGAGAGAACACCATCAGCTGAAAAGAAATGTCGGAAGAAAAATGCAATAAATGAGCAGAAGTGAAAATATCTCAAGAATGGTGAAAATGTAAAGCATAAAGTGAAAATAATTCTCAAAGCGAAAAAAAAGAGAGCAAGAAATTGAGTTAAGCAAAATATGTGCGTTATAAAACTGATAGTTTATGAATTGATGTTGTCCCATAAATAAAGTGAATGAAAAAAAAGGTGTTTGCATAACCCGATCGCATAGTGACGTTCTGTTAATAGATTAAACTACGACCAAAACCAAAAATCAAACTTAAAAGAGCAAAAAGAAAAACTGAGAAGAAAAAGCATATACACTCATGTTTAATACACCGTTTGAATAATATTTTATTTTATTTTTTGTTCATGTTTGTGCATGACAACGAAAAGAAACGAAACGCAATATTCAACACGGCAAAATGATGGCAAAGCAAACATATCCATACATCCTAGGCTATGTAATCACAATTATATTAATACTTTCCAATGTTAAAATTGTTTCTTCAAACGAAAAAAACCAGTATGCGACGACTACGACGGCGGCGGCGGCAACCACAACATCAACAGCAACAGCGTTTCCAAATGCTGCGCTCGAAGTTACTGACGTTTCGGTAGCGATTTCTTCGACACAACGGTTTCATGCAGCAACAACGAGTACGGCCCATGTATATCCAATGTCCAAGATGGTAACGGTGCAAAGCAATAACAATCAAAATCCGTAACAACGATTCCACGTGAAATCGAACAATTTTCATATGTATTTTCATGAACCGCATTCGAACTTCGAATTTCGAAAGAAAAACGAAAAATTTCAATGTTTTCATTTTCAATAAAAATATCCTTGATATGATTTAGTTCGTCATCAATTCGATGCTTATAAATGTTATCCAAAATCAAAAGACATGGCATAGTAAATTGTTCGATTTCGAGTGGAATCGTCATTAAGTGCATTGCATGATAAAGTTAAATTTATACAACAGACATTGCACAACACAAGTTCGACAACATTAGACGAAGAACCGAGCAAACCAAATGACCAGAAAGAAGTACATAAACAAGTGGATCGACCGACGAATAGCGGCAAAAACAGCAGTAATCGTATGCGTATAAATAACAACAGCAATAGTAATAGTAACGTCGAACAACAGAGACAGAACGATTATCTAGTACAACAAGATGCTGAGAATCCAAAGCAGCTGTTATCATCGATACACTCGTTGTCATTGCAAGACGCCGTAGACGTGCAAGCAAATCTAAGCGAAAAAAATCATAATCATGCCCAAGTTATTATTCAACAGCGTAACGATGTGCAGTCAACAACGCCACCACTTATTTACCATGATCAATTTATGAATGAATATAAAAAGACACCATCGAACGCAATCGAAAGTAGTACGGCTAGTAGTGCAGAGGTATTGCCAGCCAAAGCGAAAACTAACATCGAAATGAGATATGTTCAACCAAATGAACACAATGAACCATTGGAGCACAACAACGGTGCCAGCATCAGTCACGGCAGTAGTAGCGGCCGCACCGTCAGTGGCAACAGAAGAAGTGAGATTGGCACAAACGATGATAATAACAACGATGATTCACGTAAAAGTGATGAAATTACATCAATGCCCATGAAAATTGTACGTGATAATGTCAATGTTGCTTCCGATGCTGTTTCCCGTCTAAATAGCGAAGAAAGCGATGGCGCAACGAAAGTGAATAAAACATTTGCCTTCGACAACAGTAAATTGTTGAGTACTGATAATAATAATAATAATAATAAGTATCAACGAAGAGAGCATCGTGACGATGGCATTGACGATGATGATTCGTTCTCGCTTGAGGAATCCAGTCATCTAAAATTCAATGAAAGAAGTCGATATTTGGAAACGGATTTAGATGAATTTGACAATGATGAACCAGAGCAAAGTGATGTCAATGTCAACGATCAACTCGAATGGCCTAGTGATAAATTTGAAGAACTAACGCTTGACGACATTGATGATATGAACAAAAAATCCACCAACATTCATGCACGTAGTTGGACAAAAGATGATTCGATGGATTCATTGCAGGAATCAATCACACCGAGAACAGCCACTGCACAGCAAAATATTCTCAAAATTTCCAAATCAAATAAATCAAAGTCAATAAAGCGTTTGGCAGTTGGCAGCGCTACAGTTTCTGATGCAGCACCACCACCACAATTACCACAGGCTTTGCTCGAAATACGCCTGAATAAATCACCGCCAATGTCACCACCAAACGAAAAGCAATTTATCAAGTCGCAGAGTTTTCGTTTTATTACAAATTTATACGATCAATACGAATGGGATGCGGATGAATTGCGAAAGGTATTGAGCCCAAGGTGTGCCAGCGATATGTATGTGTACTTGGATGCTCTGATCAAAGGAAAAATTTGGGCAGCCAAAGGTAAAATATTGACGATTTCTTTTCCATTCTCTCTCTCTCTCTCTCTCTCTCTCTCTCTCTCTCTCTCTCCGTATACATTTGTGTTCCTCGATCAATAATGTAACTGAATTTAGATTCGATGTACACGTGGCCGAATGTTATCCATGTCGCTTTGGAATTAATGTTGTTGCAATTATTATTCATTGATTTCTCCGAATTCAATACCAATACCAAGCTTTTTTCGTTCTCTTTAAAACAAATCGTGAATCATCATTAGAAAGTAATAGTACTAAAAATGCTTGGCTTTTTGATTGAAAGTACAACATTTTCCGAATTGAAGATAAAATCCATTAAGCTAGTCGTTAATCAAAATGTGTGTCTGTTTCAGTGCTCATGTAATGAATGTGTTTTTTATTCTCATTTGCAGCAAGTGATGCATCGGGAAGATATCGTGGACAGTTTATGTTCGACAATAATCATTGGTTGGGTTCGATTTTAGAATGCGATGGACTGGCAAAAATCGATGAAATGGAAGTTAGTTTTTTCGTCGCTACAACATTGGTTGCTAGCCCTGAACCATTGATTGAGGTACGTATGATGTGGTTTTAGTTTAGATTCCATTTATTTAATACTGTACAAAGTTGTGTAGTAGTGATACATATGAAAAAAAAAATCAATATGATGAATGCATTGACGTCGCGAACAGGTTTTCAATTAATGTACTCGAATGTACTGTGACACAGAATTATCACAGATATCGAAATAAATGCATTTACTCTTTCACGCAAAACAATATATAATAATAGTAAATCAATCGTTGTATGAAAAAATCTTGCATAAATCCATTTCCTCCCGTTTGCAAAATGTTCGTTCTGGGCTTCATGCAAACAATGTAAAATTCGTATGTATAAAATATGCAATCGATTTAATAAGCAAAAATATTTTCTGCATCGTCGATCGTGTATCGAAATTCGTGAAGTAATCCGACGTATGCGTGGATTTTGTGCGTGAAAAACAATGTGCACAAATCCAATGTGCTCGAAATAGCGTGCAATTGATGTATGTTTACCATTATTATTTTTTTATTCATTCTACACTTTACATCGCAATCATAGTACAATTCGCATCAAATTAATTTTACCACTTAATTTGGAAATATGCTCAACGTCAAATGGTTGTTCTAATACACAACATAAAAATCCGGAATACTCGTATTCATTTTAATGATAATTGGTTTTCGATGGCACAACAAAAAATTCAAATAAAAAAAACATTTTATTCACCTTTTTTCCACTGGATTTGAACTTTTTTCCTTGAATGACAGCGAAATTGCAGTAAATAAGCTGTCGTTTGATTGAATCAAGCTTTGAAAACCTGATAATATTAGTAAATCATGTTGAAAAGATGGCAAACCCCTCCAATGAAATGTTCACTCAAACCAATAGATTCACCAAATCAAAAGGATTCGATTTTGATGAATTCAAAAAGCATTCCATTTGAAAAGCATTCCGTTCATGTGAAAATAACAAAACAAACAAAGCAAAAGCAAAACATTTTAACGGAATTTTACCGTATTTTGCAGAAACATATTTTACGTGTGGGCCAATGTCTGCCTGCTATTTGTACAACCGAAGACGTTAGGTCAATTTTGGATGCCGATCCATGGGCTCGGAAATTTATGGACAATTTTGTGAATGCAACAACCGAACAAGGTCGTGCCGATATAAGCGTTCTAGGTGTTCGACGGGTACCAGGAGACTACAGTGCGTGGAAAGATCGTCAATTTTATATGGTTATGTAAGTTGATGAGTTGATTTAATCGAATTGCATGCGAATATTGTGTTCCATGAATTTTGAATTCCTTTTGTTTTTTTGTATCATAGTTTCATTTGCATAACATTCGTTGGGCTAACAGTTTGGGCAACAATTTACGAGATTTCATTATCGAATATGCGACGAGAAATGGATGATGAAAATGTTTTACCATCACGACAAGCCATACATCCGATTCACATAACAAAAGCACCAAAAACCAATGGACAACAACAACAACAGCAACGCATTTATTCGTACGAAAACGCAACCATCGGCTTAGAAAACACCGAACCAACATTAAAAATAGACAAAATTCACACAAACAACATTATAAATGGATGCACATTAGAATTGCATCCGATTTCGATTGAACATAACAATGGAAACCATCTGGCAAACAATAATCGAACGGCTCTCTATCGATTGAACACTCAATACAACAATAACAATGCCAATAACATCAACAATAACCATCATGCTGGCAATAATGATGATGCAAACGATAGCAATCATTTGAAACGGGGACTTAAGCACAGCCGAAACGGATCAACGACAACAACATATACCACGAAAACAATGCGAACACACGAACAAAACCATTTAAGTAAGAACAATCGCTTTATTTGAATTGGGACGATAAAATAAAAGTGTGTGCACTACTAAACATTGGACCCTGGCAACGGATTTCAATTTTGGGCCATGTATACAGTGTGTTGTGTAGCTCATATAACAATTTCCATAATAAAATGAAAACTTTTAAATTTAATACACATTTCACATCCTCTCGCTCATTGCTCTCTCATTGCATCCTTTTGGAAATTCATTTCGTGACCGCTTTTTGACTTATGCGCGCATATTTATTGAAATTTGATAAAGTTTGCAATTCGGTTAATAAAGTGAATATTTGAAAACTTAGACGCATGCATGCATACAATTAAATACTGATCCAGCTGATTGTGATATACACATTGCACAGATGGAAAGCAAAAGGTACAACAGATCATATCCGAAATCTACATAACAATTCAATTTTATTATATATACGCTTCGTATTTATGATAATTGTGTCAGTAGTGGAATATATGCACGCTTCGGAAAAAAAGCCATACAAGATAAAACCGTCATTTTGCTAGGTTGTTCTTGTTTTGCCAATCCAATTTCAATCTTTTCCTTCCTTTACCTGTTTTACTTCTTGATTACACACACACATGCTCACAATGATATAAAATTTTGTTATTCAAATTATAAGCATAATATAGTGTATTGTGTGAAACGATCCAGAGCTAAAGTGTATGGAATGTTGATATCAAGCCAATTTCAAACCCTGACACATGCGAATTGAAACATCGAAACGTCGACAAACTGAAAGAAGGAACTAAAATACAAAACTCAGAAGCACTCACGCCGATACAAAAAAGAGCAATAAAAGTGTTCACGCGCAAAATAAATTGCCATTTTATACAGTCACTTCGAAATTGAGTTGGTAGCATATTGGTACCATATATTTGCCAGTATTTTTTTATTCTCTTTTTTTATTCTCACACCGTGTCTCGGTGACGACGCGCATTGAATGAGTGCTATTTCCATCGGTGCATGCAAAAGCATTCATGAAAACGATTACAGAATGCTACGGCATTGATTCTAGACTTTAGCATACACTGAATAAACACCACTCGGTTTACTGTACGAAAAATGTAAAAGAAAGCAATTCACTTTATCTAAAATGCAAGATATCGAAATAGCCAAATAAATTCCCACACGCAGACAAAGCATATACACGATATAAATTAGTCTCCAGTGTACGTAAACCAATTTGGATCGATTCATTCTATCGTCGCAATGGATATTTAATGGGTTTTTGCTTTGAAGCGATTTGAAAAATCGCCACATTCCATGCAAACCATTTTTCTCTCTCTCTCTCTCTCTCGTGCACACTCCATCCCAGAAAAACCACCCATCGAACATGTCGAATGTCATTACAATTTCTCATTCACATATATTCTTCGTAATGTGACCAGAGACAATATCTCGAAATAAAATCCCCCATCGCGATGAAACTCATATTTTTGATTTGCAATTTATTTGTCGGTATTTTAACCAAAAGTAATTTGAATAACTTATAAATTAATTTAACTATTTCATCCAACCATATTATGCATGCACCTGATCCAACAAAAGTCTTATCACTGTTTGCTCATGAAGAAATTCCAATTGAAAAACAGCACGAGCACGCGGCTTATCTTGGTTAAGCAGCTGGATTAGTTTAGTATTATGAGTTAATTGAAGTAATTGCAACTTTTAGTTTTGTTACGCTATGAGAAAATCGATTTTTATTCTCTTGCTGACACGTTGACCGTTGAACAAGTGATATCTAACGCTGTTTGCATAGGATCTTCCTACATAGCGCCTCAATGTTTGTTTGTAAATATTTTCTGCATCAAAGAAACCAATTTAATTTTACTTTAGAAAGTAAGACAAAGGTCTCGGCAAACTGTAGCTTAAAGTTTTATTTCCATTTTGTGCTTATCGACATTCATAGCGAGAACGTTTCAAAAGGAATTTGATCAAGCAAAAAAGTGTATAAATCCAAGTCCATCCCATTGATGATATTGTAGAATTTTCTACATGGAATTTGGTTACGCTTGGCTCGCGGCTATTCAAATTCTGTTTGCAGAGAAAAAACCGCTAAAAATGTAATATGTTAAACTGTCGTTCAACTATTTTACTTAACGTTTTTGCACATTTTCGAAATGTCTGTCATATGAAAAAAAAAAAACCTTAAATTCCCTTGTTTTATATTGAAAAGCTGAAATTATCATATTTTAAGTTGAATGGTAAACAAAATATTCTATTGAATCACTTTATCACGATGAAAATGAATGCAATTTCACAGCGGTTGTATAAATTGATATTGTGAAAAATTCGGGTGTATTTTTCAATTGTGTGTTGTTGACAACAACAACTGATGCTTCATCTCGACACCGCACCACAGCCCGCATATAAACATCATTGTCATTGCATTGTCGAATCGAGAAAAAAAACACGAGAAGAGATAATGTGTCAGTAGCACAGAGTGCTGAATTTTCGGAATAGATATTTGCCAAATTGATGTCAATGCGAACGTTTGCAAGACAAAAAAAATCGATATTTTCCATCACGTAGTAAAAAGCGACGATGCTTTACCACCCAAAAGTGAAAACACGCGAAAAATGTGTATAACGATGACAATGGAACAACAAAAACTTCGAATATAACATTTGCGAGAATGGAGCTCATCATAATAATCGAATCAAACACCAAAACTATATTGACTCAGACTTGTTTATGATTTTGACGGTTCTATCGTTTACTGCTCTCTTTTTACACACACACAAACACACACGAAATATGATTGACGGTTTTACTTTCACAAAAATACTCACTTCATTGTTGATTCGATTTATTCATGAAGTGCTCTCAATATTTTCGGGTGACTATTCGTTCTATTGTTGGTGCTGCAGAATGAAATAATATAGAGCAAGACTTGGATTAAGTGTGATGAAGAGAGAGAGAAAAAGAGATTCACAGAGTTTAAATGTGCAAACAAAAGTTTTCAATCCGCTTCGGAACATTGTGTCATAAAGTTTGGTTTTGGTTGATTTTCATTTTATTGAAAAATGTATATTGGGGCTTTGTGCGCGTTAACACATCTTTTATGGATCAAATAATGCCAATGCAATGTGGCTGTGTCAATCGATGTGCCACACAGCAAAAACCATCAACGAGACAAAAACACGAACGAAAATATTGAGTGCGGTCTTGAATATTTTTTTATTGTCGAAAAGAATGCGTAAGGAATATTTTCTCATTTTGCACTTTGCGTGCGGTATGTGCTTGGATTGAAATCATGACTAGCGAAGTGGATATATTTTTTTCTTTGCAGTTGCTATGGTCGTACGCACACTTTTTTTATTTTATATCCTATGTACAGGTTATGTTTAAATTGTGTCTCTTTTCTGTTTGCACAAAATATAGGTATACCACAACAATTGTTGCTGAGCTTTGCACTGCCCACAAATATTAAGACAATTCTATCGACGAAAAAACTCCCGCAGGTAATTTCAAACATTTGACGAATGCTACGTAAAAGAAAAACTCACTTGTACTCTGTAAAAAACAGCAGACAATGCTCGAATTTTAAAATGACATGCAATCGAATGAAAACAATTTCAATGTAAACATATGGTATGCACAAGCATTTTCTGCACAAAACGAATATTATAAATCGGATGAATTTTCGATATTGTGTGTTTTTGCACGATGTGACATCAAATTGAAGTTTTGAAAACGCAATCACATGAAAATTAGATTGACTTGAAAAAATGGCTGTTCAGCGACATAGAACTCGGAATTTCAATGAAAAATAATTCGATTTTTTCAGCGTTCGTTATTGTTTGTATTGAATACTCGTTTTTGATTTTCATGAATACAATGGAATTCACGTGAGCATAACAATAAATGCTGTTGTCATAAAAACAAAATTCGAATTTACGTTGTACAGTGAAGATTCCTCACATTCCTAATTTTTTTTTCTTTTTTTACGTTAACGTTTATCTTATTCATGCACTAGGATTCAATTGGTTGCATTCACGGACTGCGAGTTTTTTCAATGATGTGGACTATATTGGTGCATACTTATTTACAACTGTATGCTGTATCGGAAAATCGGGTAAGTGCCAAATTTTAATGCAGAAAAACCACTGCGAGCAAGATTGCTTTGTGCTCAATTTCAATTGACATATGCCATTCGAACAATACCATCGAATACCATTCGATTCGAATGTAAAATGATACTTAGAAATGTTTGCAAAAAGAATGAAATCTGTCATGTGATGTGCAATTTTGTTGTCATAAAAGATTTTGGCGTTTTTTTTCATTGATTTTTTTTGTGTTCTTCCTTTTATTTGGTACATTTCACCATTCGACATTTGATTTGATTGTGGTTTCAAATTAAGTACACCAAAATATTACAAGAGAAAACGTTCTGGTTCCAAATTTTAGGGAATGCAAGTTACACAGTCGACACGTTCTTTTTCATAAGGTAATTTTTATTTATTTTCCGTTTATTTCGATTTATTTACCGACTTTTCCGAAAGAAAAGTTTTTTTAACGTATTTACCGAACTCATTTTCACCTTTAATTTTTCGTTGTTTACTTCACATGGTAGTGGTTTTCTGGTGACACTTCTCTTTTTGCGCACCAAAACCACAACAAAAACTTCATCCGAGGGTCATTTCATCAGTTTCGTAGCGGAAGCCAAACAAAGTTTTTTGTTAGTGCTTTATCGATATATACGGTTGACACCAGTTTATTTTATGGTGATCATCATCAATGCGGTCACACTCAAGTAAGTTCTGTCACTGTTGAAGTTTATAATTTGTTTAATTTGGTGTTGGTCGGGGCAACAAAATACGCAATTTAATTTTTTTTTTTAAATCATTTATGATTTTGAAGGTATGTTTATAACAAAGCAGTATTCACACCGGGCCTTCCTGATCACATCACATGTCCAAACTATTGGTGGCGCAACATTTTATACATTCAAACATGGTTCCCGTTCACGCAATTGTGTATGCTCTGGGCATGGTATTTGGCAGATGATATGCAATTCTATATTTGGGCCATTGTCATTCTCATTCTATCACGACGGTAAGTATGAATGGGTACGAACCGACAAACTCATGAATCTCAAACTTTGAATAATTTATTTTCGAAGTTTATATGTTCGGCGAGTAAAAAGCTCTTACACATTTCTTACGTCTATAAATGTTGAATTTCAAATTAATGTGAAATGCGTTGCAATAATGTTTAATTTACACACAAGTGGTTGGGATTTTCATGTATGGTTTTCTTGCCCCATTTCATATGACACTAAAAACAGATATGGGCGAACAGCTGTTGCCTTAATCGTAACATTTTTGCTCGCCTCATGGGTTGTATCGGCGCTGGTCTCATTACATTTCAATTACACGCATAAAGTTGCGGAGCCGCTTGAATCGTTTGGATACTTGTACGAGGTAAATAATGAAGCACATAAAATACATCAGAGCCGAATTATAGCAATAATGTTCTTCTGAAAATTTCAGAAACCATGGACGCGACTTGGACCGTACGTGATGGGTAAATATATTATGTTTTTGTTACCCATAATATCGATCGATTCTTCCCGTTTTTTTTTTGTTGTTTATCATGAAAACATATTGTCAACTCAATCTGTGTGAGCACAGACAATGTGTGTTCGAATTGATAGTGTGACTTTTCGATGTGAAAAGCGTAGGACAAACAATATACAGATTCACCGAGAAACAGATAGAGAATAGTCCGCACTTCAATTAATTTACGAATGTGCGAGAGATGTCTTTTGCACGAAAATTAATGTGTGCTCTCATGTGCATCGTCATGAAGTTGCTTTAGTTTTTGTGTTTGTTTAATTTCCACTTCATTCTCACTCTTTGCCATTTTGACACAGGTATGATTGCTGGATATATACTTAATCGCTATAAATCTGCACCGCCGGCTATAACTCCGTTTATCAACATTGTGCTGTGGACGATGTCATTGAGCGTCATGTTGTTGCTTGTATTTGGCGTGTGGAATGGCACACTAAATCTTCTATGGACCGCTCTTTATGTTAGTTTAGGTCATTCAGGTGAGTAAAAGATAAACATTCATTTTCCGTCCACCGCTGGGGGACGGACACAAAATCTAGTAAAATCTAGTTTCATAGTTTACTGCTAATTTTGCTGATATTTTTCTAATATTAATAAAAAAATCTACTATTATAACTATACAGAAATACTAATATTGCTAATATTAGTTCACTAGTATAAACGTCAAACGTCAAATAGCTGATCTCAAAGTGAAATCATGTATGAATTTTTCATAAATTCTTAGATGAACATTTAACATTTTTTTATTTTTCCTGGTTTAGAAAAAATAAAATTTATTTCTATTAAATAGTACGAGGGTCACTATTGAAGTTTTTTCAAAAACATATATAAGACAATGGGGTTTCATCGAAAATGGTTTTATTGTTTTTCAAAATATTCGCCATGATGATCAATACACTTTTGCATTCGCTCGAACCATTTGTCATAGCATTCATGCCACTCCGAAAGTGATATCTCCGAAACGTGTGTTTTGAACGCATCAACTGCTTCTTCGGGCGATGAAAATCGTTGACCACGCAGTTTATTCTTCAAGCTCGGGAATAAAAAGAAATCGTTGGGTGCCAAATCAGGACTGGACGGCGGATGACCCATTAAATCGATCTTTTGACCGATCAAATAATCGACTGTTTGATGAGATGTGTGAGAGCTCGTATTATCATGATGAAGAATTATTTTGCGACGGCGGTTGTTTTTTCTTATTTCATCAAACACTTCGGGCAAACAAATGGTGGTGTACCAATCAGAATTGACGGTCTTACGAGCCTCTAGTGGAACTGTTGCCACATGACCACTTATCGCGAAAAAACAGGCGACCATTTGCTTCGCAACACTTCGAGCTCGAAGAACTTTTGTTGGGTTATCTTCACTTTGAAAGACCCATACAGTCGACTGCTGTTTAGTTTCGGGCTCATACGCGTAGATCCATGATTCGTCACCAGTGACGATAAAATACACGGATTTTGAAACACCACGATTGAATTTCTTGAGCATTTGTTTACACCAATCGACACGAGCCTTTTTTTGAGCGATTGTCAAATTATGTGGTATCCAACGAGAGCAAATCTTTCTGACAGCTAAATGTTCATGTAAAATCTTAAATACGCTGGTCGCACTAATGCCCAGGGATGCCTCAATCTCGTGATATGTTACATGACGATCTTCCATTATCATATTTCTGACAGCATCGATGTTTTCTGGTACAACAACTGATTTTGGACGACCTTCGCGGAACTCGTCGATGAGCGATAGGCGACCGCGCTTGAATTCGTTGTACCAATTATAAATTGTCCGAAGACTTGGTACTTCATCGCCAAAGGCCAAATGAAGTTGATCAAAACACTGTTGTTGTGATACACCCAATCGAAAGTAGAAAAAAATAATCGCTCGAAAATTTTCACGAGTAAAATTCATTTTTTGGCTGAGACGCAATTTACATGTTACGGTATACAATACAAATAACGATCGAATGACAAAACGTTCTGAGAACGTTTATGCTACAAAATGTTAAACTTAACGAATATGACAATGGTTTGCATCGGGCAATACTAAAACATACATATTGAAGAAACTTAAATAGTCGCCTACGTAAAACACTATTAAATAGTAACAAAAAAAGTTTTCGGTGAGCAAAGTGCGCAATTCTCTAACAAGCAATGGTGAAGCAAAACAAACTAATTTTTGCTAATAGTTTGCTAATATTCCGCTAATATTCTAATATTTATAATGGTGTCCGTCCCCTAGGTCCACCGCAAACAATTTGGAATTTATTTCTGTAGACGGTAAAATTTGAACTTTGAACTATGAATTTTTGCAGTGAATTCTGTACATGAATTGAATAGACCTAATTAGTGAATTAAAAAAGAGCTCTTTTCCTGCTTTTCTTCATTAGCATCGATATTTTTGGAAAATTAAATTTTTATTCTATGAACTAATATTCAAAATCAATTCGATTTAACTAATCCATTTTTTCATTTCAATCTTCTTGTTTTTGCTAGCCTGGGGTATGGCGCTAATTTGGATTGTATTATCGTGCAAATGGGGATTGGGCAAACCAATCGATAGTCTGTTATCACTTCGAGCATTGTTGCCATTAAGTCGGCTCACATACTGTGCGTACTTGGTTCATCCTGTAACACAAATATCGGTATCACTAGACCTCAAAGGACCAATTCACATTGACCATGCAATAGTATTTACCATATTCTTAGGAAATGTCGTCATCGCTTATTGGGTGGCTCTAATCTTGGCACTATTATTTGAAGCACCCATTGTGCGACTCCTAAAAATACTCTTCTCGAAACAACAGTAATTTATATTTAGGTTACATTAGATCCACATTATTTTATATAACCTTTTAACATAATTATGAATGGGTGTCATTGTTTTAGTATTAGGAGAAAAAGAGAAGAAGAAGATTATGATGATGTTGATAATGTATGTTTAAAACTGCATTTTATTTTGTATGATGATGTAAATAAATTACACGGCAACATTGTTGTTTGATTAAGTAATAAAAATGGTACGTTTCTGTAAAATTGCTTTTTTTATATATCAACCGTCAATCAAATCCATATCCAGTTGTGGTGCAGTCTTTCCACCGAGAATAATCTTTTTCCAAACCGCACACATCAAATAAATGTACACAACAGATTTTACAGATTGGTTTTAATGGATAGCCGGTTCCTTTCTGTTTACTGATTGACTTATTGCAGCATAAAATGAATCATCTACGTATAAAAACCAGCAAATGGATACAAACTAATTATAAGCTTTTTTTACACGAAATCAGTTGCTCATTCGAATGCTGTTCCACACACTCAATCGTGTGATGTAATGAAGAGGAGGAAAGTAGCCACACAATCATAAAGCATATATGCACCACCAAATATCCGTTCCCAGATGTGTTCAATTTTTAATTTGTAACAAATCTGAAGAAGCTTTTTTTAATTTTAAGATCACTCAAATGGAAGTTCCATTTTCCTTGCAATTTCTTGCAATTTCTCCTTGAGCGTTAATACTAAATTAGGTTTCCATCTAGAATGAAATGTATTTGCTTGAAATGTAATGAATGTGTGCCATTTTCAACGATAATCTTTCGATTTACGCTAACGTCAGTTGTGGTTGTAGTGTTTGACATCAATGTATTAGCCCAGAAACTGTGCAATGCAATATTAAGAACATTGGAGCGAACATGTTTTTCGCTTCACTAGCTACCCATGTTCAGAAGTAGTGGTTTGGTCTTGGGTTTGGTATAATCAAAGCGGAGAAAAAAAATCTTTTCTTAATTTCTCATTTTCATTGTACATTGCGTATACATCTTATCCAGACGTGTATAATGATTTGTTCTATGTAATTTCCAGCATCACAGCGTGAACGTATTTATTCCAATTTACAGGAGAGACTCTTTTTCCAGAAAAACATAATTGATAATCGGTCTTGTTTCATGAGCAAACTTTCCGGCATCACAATCTCTCAGTCTTGAAGAGAATGGTCGTTGTGTGGTTTTTACTTTGTATAAGCTGATGTGTAGAATATAAGAGAGGGTGAGAACGTTATAAATCTTGTAGAAGAGCAATTTTAATGAAAACTCCATTTAGAAACGGTAACTCACGTTTACAAGCAACCGTATAAACACATATATGGAAGAGACGACCTTAAAATGAATTGGTGACATTTTCTTTAGTCGACAACTTTCCTCTTCAAGACTTTTGTATGTGACTTGTAATCCGTGAGTTAAGTATCAATAGAAATCAACGTAACGGACAGTTGCTGCCGGTGTCGAATATAATTAATATTTATGAAACAAATTTCGATCAAAATTTTTACCACCAATTTGTTCGATCGTTGAATGAATCTGTGTTCGGTGCATGGATGAAAACAAGAACAGTAAGAACCATGTAAGTGAAGTCATTATTCATGACGGATTTTTTTGACTATCCGGAAGTAAAGCAAAAACCGTAATGTATTTGCATCCACATGCTTGTGCATATTTTATGTGCACCCAAAATATATTGCTAATTGAAACATTCCCTTGTAATATTCGAAAATTGTTGGATCGGTCCTGTAAAACTTTCTAAATGAATAATTACGTTGGTTTAAGTTTTTCACGTGCGCACAAATAATAAACAGCCACGAGAATAACTTCGATGCATAACAAAAGGTTTGCTTATAATTGTATTCGCTTGAGTGCACCTTTTTTACCACTTATTATTCACACATTCTTGTGCTCTCTCTCTCTTACCATGGCTTCTTCTTTAACCATTTTTGAGCGAAGCTTTTCAGAATGGAATATGACGCATATATGAACAACGTAATTTGTTATGCGACGTTAATGGAGGTATTTTTCTCTTTATCGCATAAAACGTGATGTTTACTACATCGAATGAAGTTAACTTTTGAGTTGCGGGAAAAACGGAGGCTGTTTTTTTAAAGGCATTTATATTAAATTTTTGAAGCATGAATAACATTTATTAAAGATTCAGTTTGAAATTTACAAAACTTTAAGTGCGAGAAACGTTCAGTGGAACACAAGCACATCGTCCCAAGCAAATCATCCGCTTGACATTGAATTTACATCAAATGTGACGTTTGATAAAATTCTTTTTACTTAACATATACGTATAATATCTAGAAGTTTTCAGCTGATTTAGTGTATAGTCAAATCTGTTGCTGTAAAGTGGTGATAACAAATACTTTTCGGATAGGCATTTACAACTTTTTGATTTAAATCCGAAAGCAGCTGAAAATGATTTATTTTCTGTGTTGGCCTTGTACATTCGTTTTGATAAAAGCAATGTACGCAGATTCATATGTAGTGTACGCAATGTATTTTTCGATCTTTTCAACGGTTGAGCCAACGCTAAAGATGTAAACAAAGTGCATTCGACTAAAAATTATTATTTAAGCTAACTTTCCAACCATATATCATATATGCGAAATAGAAACCAGTTATTATATATTTTTCCACAGAGATTTTCCCCCGAAAGACTAAAAACAAATGAAACTAAATGCAAAATTTATCTGTGTATCATTTATATATAGACGATTGGAATAATCCAAGTTTTATACGTATTGCGATGAAATTCACCAGTCGAATTGAATGCGCTGTGATTTTATCAACCCGAAAAAATATTGTTGAACAAGTGCTTTGCTTCAGTTTATGGGATGGTTGAAATTTATTTGGCGCCACTGCACCGCGTTCAATTCGTTTTACATGTGAATACACTCCAATTTGATGAGCTCGTTTCCTTTTTATATAGATAAAATACGGATACATATTGCCACAGGCATTTTTCGTCGATTAGAATATATATATGCATGTTCAATGTTCATTGCTCGTCGGGGTCATACGATACACTCAATTCACTTAACATTCTTATACTTCAAACTGAATTGTATTGAAATGGCTATATTCGAATTACCATTTTCGAGCGAATTGATATAAATAAATAAATTAACAACTATTAAATCTCGGGCTTTTAATTGCATACATGGTTACCCGCATTCACTTTTGGAAATCAATCACATATGAAATATTCAATTAAATCAAGTTTATAAATGATGTGCAAACAGATACGCCCTCGAGAATAGTAAAAATTCAAACATAACCCTGATGCTTGTACTGAAAACTGCGGTTGTGCTAATAAGTTTATTGTCGAACTTAAGTGGCTTGTGTTTTGCATTAGTTTATTGAGATATTTTCGTTTTGTTGAAACATATCAGATTTAAGTAATTTATAAAATGCAAGCGGTTCTTTACGATTTGGAGCTTACTTCTCCATTCTCTACGTGCCGGAAGTGATTCTATACACTTCAGATGCGGATTATACGTTGAGAATACGCCTATAAGCCTTTCTATTGAATAAATGTATGCAACCGCCACAGTGTCGTTAATACTTAGCTCCAGTCGATTGAACAAAACCAAGATGCTCATTTATCTTGAATCTCACAATTTTGAAAATTGAAGTGTGTATGGCAATAAATTTAAGATAAGTACCATACTTTCTCTAAACCACGTAAAATTCTATATGTATTTGATGTTAAAAAACGAAATAAATATAAACTAGTTTAGAGCTCGAAATAAATCAACAAACCATCTTGACTGAGATATGTCAAATCGTAAAAACACCATCTGGCGACGTGTGATGAATGGTGATTGAAGTTAAACGGTATGATAATTGAATTAAGTATCATTCAACATTGTTACGTAAATTCAAGCTTGTTACCACATACATTGACAACCACGTCGGCAGATGGCGCAATATTGTGCTTCTTTTTTCTCGCCTATATATAGGGTTTCAGGGTGGTTGAAATAAATAACGTAGCATACAAACGCAGCGTATTAACACTGCGTATGAACGCGGCGTATGAACGCAGCGTGACGGTAGCGTAATGCTAATTTATCTTCTATTTTTCGTGAGCGATGGTTTATAAATGTGAAAAAATACGAACTCTAAACAGAGGAAGAGGTAATCAAGAGGATAATAAATGAAATGGGCAACAGGCCGTTTCATATTTACGCATATACCATCTACGCTACCATTCACTCGATCGTCGTTTTTTATATCAATGTTAGACCATATGAAAGATTAATGATATTAATAAAATCATTCACAAATTGGTTTCATACATGAAATAATTGTTTTTTTTTTGTTTTATTCTTTTTTTATCATAAATATTCTTGGAAAATGCTTCTTTGCAACGAAATTCCGACTTTTCAGTAATAAAACCAGTGTCTTCATGTTATCTGAGAGAAAAGTCTATTTTTACACTTCAAGTCGTAGACAAGTTTTGCCGTCTGTAATTCCATATATGTTTGAACAATTTTAATAAGTTTTTTTTTGCAAACTATTGAGAAAAGAAAAATGGTTATCAAATTCAAATCTTGTATCAGCCCAATTCTAGATTAAAGTCTTTAGCTCGCTATGTTGCACCAAATTTATTTTTACTGAAGAGCTATTTTTAACAATATCTCATGCCATTGTCTTTACAATCGTTCGAATGAAACACCTATAGCATATTTCAACAATGTAAGTCAGCAGTGTTCAAAATAAACCATGTTATCTGAGGCGAACATTTTTGGCAGATGTATACATATTGTTCTGTTATTCAGGATAAGAAAATTTTCTGTAGAACATCATTGTACACCTGCTATGCATTGATGTTTCGCAACAAAAGATAACTTCAATTTTGCGATACTAGTGTAGCTCAGCACACGTCACAGAATAATCGGTATTTTTCGGAAAATAAATGTTTGTGCGGATACACAAGCGACTGGAAAACAAAGAACACAATGAAACGACATGATATGCAATACAATTGTAATGTGAAACGTGAAACAGTAGCAACAGTGGTGCCATTTACATCGATGGTGAAACACAGCCAAATTTCGACGAAGAAGAACAGTAGAAGCAAACAAAGAAGATGCAATGATACTTGTAAGTTTGAAAAGAAATTAGATTTGTATCGATTGAAAAAGAGCTTTACCTATCCACACC